AAATCTGAGAAATTTTGTGCCCGAGTCTTCAGGAATAAGAGTAATTAGAGAATGTTTAAACCTTTGAGGAAGTTTTGCAGTGGCAAAGAAATATTTTATAGCAGCAATAAAATCAAGGCCAGTGATATCCCAAATAACATTGAAAAACTTAGAATTAAACTCATCTGGTCCAGAAGCCCTATCATAACCAACAAAGAAAAAATCCTACTTAAAATCATCACCAGTAAAGCATTGAGTAAGAAAGTCACAAATAGAATTAAAAAGTTGATGTGAAACGGGAAAGAACTCAGTATAATCCGCCTGATTGCCATTTCAACTATTAAGCAAGTTAGATAAATAAGAAATGGCAGCATTAGAGATGTCTTCTTGCTCATGAACATAGCTTCCATTAACTAATATTTCCTTTATGTAGTTGGAATTACTCATGATTTTCATTTTTTGATAGAGAAATTTGATGTCATCCTCAACTTTAGTCAACAAATAGCATTTAGCTCCTTGTTTGACCCAATTACACTCACAAGAAAAGGCATTAGAAAGCTATTCTTGTATTTGAGAGGCCTTAAGGAGAAGTTGAGCATCAAAGGATGATTCTCAAGAGAGAGTAAAATGGTACTTCGTTGTTTTTTTAGATCAGAGATACTTTTGTGAAAAGAAGAAGGTGACCTTCATTCCCAACCTTTAAGAGTATGTTTACCATTGTCAAGCTTATGGCATAAAGCAAAAAGATCCCCTGACACTAAAATATTCCAAGCAGCCTCAGTAATGTTCAGAAAATTCGGGGAAATACCCCAAAAGTTCCTATACATAAATCTGCAATTCAGCTTGTTGGACACTCCAAACAGATATGAATCGGGGAGTGGTCAAAAGTTGAAGATTTCATAACCTTAAAGAAAGAGGAAATAAATCCATCTAATTAGCATTGCAGAAAGCACGGTCAAGAAGACATCCAAGAGGTGAATTAGACTAATTATTATATCAACTATAAGAGTAACCTGTGTTCTGTATTTCAAGCAGGCCAACATTAAGAGTACAATTGTTGATATCAACTAACTTACTAGGGATTGGAGGGGGGCCCTCAATTTTTTTCTCTAGCCTTAAGATGCATTTAAAATCCCCCAGAAGGATCAATGGGGTAGTACATGAATCAGCAATGGAGATGATCATCTATCGTAAAGATCTCCTTGAAGATGCATTATTTTCAGCATAAATGAAGTTAATAAAAAAACAAATGGTTAAGGAGATACTGATTTGACCATGGATATATTGAGGTTAGATATCTAAAGCTGTGAAAATAAGTTAAGAGGGTTTCCATTTTACCCAAATGCGTCCATAGTTAATGATTAGAAAGTTATGAACATCATATTCATCATGAAAAAGTTTAAAGCGATGCTTGTAAAGGAGATCAAAGATGGAAGATGAGAAAAGCTTAGTTTTAAGAAGACAAAACAAGTCAAAATTGTTCTCTTTAACCAATCTTCTGCAGTCAGCAATACGGGCATCACCATTTAGGCCCCGAACGTTCTAAGCATATATGTTAGGAAAAAATAAACATGTCTAAATATGGGTTGCACCCCCTTTTGACCTGCCTTTCTTGGATTTAGAAGAGGGGAAAGAAGAGGAAAGTATAGAGGTAGAAGAAGAGGCAGAATGGAAGCATTTCCAGATGATGTGTTTGTGAATAAGTGTGACATGGTTGACAACTAATGCTTCACCAGCCAATTCATTTCCAACATAAGCAGCGTCCTTGTGCATATCACTATGCAGAGAAAGGTTAGGGTTTTGTAATGGAATGTCTTATGAAGGAAGAGATGGTTGAGAATTGAAGATTGGATAAGAAGAGGAATGGGGAAGATGAGAGATCGGAAGTAGAAGAATTAGAGATTGGTTTCTCGTATTATTCAGTGGCCTTGCTCTAGGCCTGACACGACTGCGGCTTCGGCCCTGAGATTTAGGGATAATGGGGGTAGGTCTGAGGTTAAGGGATTTTGGGCAACTGTGAGGATCGTAAGCGAAAGTGAAACATGATTTGCATGGGTTGGGTTTCCACTGCATAGAACAGGGATAAAAACATCTTGTCCATTAATAGAAATAGTAAAGAATCTAGAAGAACAGAATCCACACCAATCTGAATACTAACTATAGCAAAAGTGAGCCGCAAGCCCTTAGCAGTGAGAGGATCAATTGCTAAAGAAATACAGATTTTGCTAACGATTTTGAAACCACTTTGAAATCCTCTTTGATAGGCTGAAAGTCATAAGACCACTTCTGAAAAATAAACGGACAACCATTAAAAAACTAAGGAGCGCCAAGCAGTACCATGTCAAAATCCTCCATGCATGTAAATTTAAAGAGAAAGAAGCCCTCTGTATAAGAAATAAGTTCGAATGTACCTCTGAGTTTCCAAACCTTTTGCACAGCTTGAAGTAGGTTTCCATGGTAAGGTCACTTACCCCGTGCATAGCCAACGAGAGCCAAGCCCCACTTCTCTGATCCTTCATCAACCACATGTTCCGAGAAATATTTTTTATTCCTCATAGGGAATATAAGAAAGGGAAAAGTTTGTAGGATTAGGGATATGAGAAGAAAACGGCCTTTCCAGTTGGAGAACCGGACAAAGGATAGATGAAACGAGAGGGAGAGGGGGGAAGTTAGAAGAATCCATAGAAATGTCAGAGTCAAAGCCCTGAGCACGGAGAATTCGATCAAAAGGGAGGAGTGTTGATCGCCACCAAGGATATCGAAAAAGGGAAGGAGACGAAAAAACCCTAGCAGAGCAAAGAAAACACGCAAACATGCGGCTATAATAGCAGTTAGATTTATATTACAACAGATTTCTCATATTGTTACATACAAAAGATATGTTTAACAGAAACAATATACAAAATATGCATGAAAGTCATGCATGAGATGCATGATACACATGATACACATGATGGACATGATAGGAAATATATGTAATATACAAGAGATGTATGAGATACGAGATATGAAAGATGCATAATATGAGGGATATGTATGACCAATAGTTGCACAACATAGTAAGCATGTCAGTAGATGAGTGAAGATGTCTCAGAAGAATCTATGTTATGAAGAGTGAAATAACTTATATATGAAGACTTATATGTGCATGTTAAGAAGAGTTCACCCATAATTATACAGGCAGGGTATGCCAGTCTGCCGCATGCGTAGAGGTTTTCTACCACCCCAAACAATTATCATGATTAGATCACTAACCATTATGCCTACGGAATAATATCCACTAGGAACAAATAGATAGAGATTACCTTCCCAGATGTGATATTTAGATCGCTAACCAATGTGTCGATGGGAGAATATTGATCTGGGGCAGGTAAGGACATTTTCCCATCAGACAACTATGATGTTTAGATTGCAAATAATTGTGCTGACAAAATAATATTTGTCAAGAGTGTATATTAGGTTTTGTTGACGGTGATCCTCAAATAGATAGACATGTATGTTAAGAGTATAAAGTAAAATTAAAGTTAAAGTAAACACATAAAACTAGAATATTTTTTTATTGAGTAAAGGTCATTGATACATGTATTAGTATTTTCAAATATTTCTCATAGAAATATGAAAAACCAAAATATTATAATATTTTTTATAGAAATATGAAGACTAGCATACATATTATTTTATTTTCTTTGGGTTATTACAGTTTAGAATTGCGATTACTCTTGAATTATCTTTAGATAACTCATGTTGTTTAAATATTTTTTTAGGTTTTAGGCTTTTGAACAAGATAAATAGAAATTGAGCAAATTTATTTAAGAGGCGAGAACAGCAACCAGAAAGATATAAATTTCTATTGTTAATTTAATTGTTTTAATTAGCGACTCTTTCATGAATATTTGAATAATAAACTGTTAATAATAAAAATATAATAGCAAAAAATTTATTTCTACTGTCCGACCAATTCCAAGCCGCAGAAAAATTCACGACAAGAATCGCAAAACAAGAAAATAATAAACGGTATATAAGCAGAGACTTGATATCACACACAAATAAAATATGTCCATCAACCCATCCACACCTACTTATAGAAACATAGGAAAATGCACTCGCTCACTCACACATATGTATCTTTGTGTATGAATGTAGATAAACAAAATACGTCTATGTCTAGCATTTGAATACATGTACAATGCAGATAAACAAAAGCAAATGCCGAAATGTGTTAATACTATCCTAGGGTAATGTTAGCACAGTGGAAATAAGTAATTCCTATCAAAAGCAGCAATGTTGGTGGGACTGCTTTTGCTAAGTAGCTTGCGTTTGATTCATTCTTTAAGCAAACGAGTCAAACACAAATAGTACTTTTGAGAATAGCACTTCTGAATTGGATTTATAAACAAGCCGAAGACGAATCGTGTTTGTTCATTTTTGCTCGAATTAATTAAATAATTAAATAAATAATATGACTATAATATTTTTATAATAAATTTTATGTTTAACTTAAAAATATTAAACTTTATTTTTTAAAAAATAATTTGAGATAATTCAGAGCCTAACTCGAGTTGAAAAAACAAAAAAAATCGAATCAAGCTATTCGAGCATATTACGGTCATATTATTCACGAGTCATTTCGAACACAACCCTATTTCGAGCTAAAAAAATTTGGACGAGCCGAACACAAAAAACACTAGACTCGCTCAAGCCCAGCTCGTTTACACCCATTGTTGGAACAGCTGCTAAAATATTGTCCAAAGCAGCACCAAGCAAGTTCAATACAATGCAGTTTTTGATATCGCATTTCCCACCACATTAGCTATCAGGTGTAGCCTACCAATAAACAGCATTATAATGAGAAGCTAAGAAAACTATTGTGCAATTATGACTACAGGGTGAAATTATTAAGGATAAAATAATAATGAACGATTAAGCCGACCAAAAGAATATTTAAAAAAAATAAGTCCAACTCGCAAGGTGCTTGAAGCAACTCTTATAGAATAACGAATTATGTGACCAAACAATCTTGCCTTGGCTTTAAAAAAATCCAAAAGTTCAATCTCAAAATGAAGCTCAACGTCTTTAGGAAAATCATCTGGAGCAGTGACTGGACAATCAACTTCAGCATAATGCAACTCCGGTTTCATCTTAAACTGCAAAAGAAGATTATTAGCATCAACATAATTTTGTATATACAGGGAAAGATACTACCTTACTTCTATAATTTAAAATGATGCAACTTAAAATATTCCATAAAACACCCCAATTCAACATTACAAGCATTTGTCACACCATTTTGAGTTGTCTACAGAAAAACTATATTTTTGTTATACCAGAAAAACTATATTTTTGTTATACCTGTATATTGAGAACTTATTTTATCATAAATAGGTTTATTAAAAAATTGCCTATTTACTGTAGAACTACTCTATTACTTAAAAATACCAGGGATAAAATATTACAGAATTGGAGTTAAAATTAAATAGAGGACTCCAAAATAAAAGTTCAAAAACTAAAAAAATATTTTGGAAGCTAGAGCAAGTCATAAAAACAAAAGCACTTTTTTAAAAGTGAAACAGGTTTACACTGAATTCAAGCATGATATATCTATTGAGCTCAAAGGCCCACTTTCATAACTTAAGCGCTCTAAAATGTGATGGAAGTAATGACGCAAGTATAAACTCCATGCATGATGTACATGGTATACAAATCTCTACATTCCGCCATGCTTTGTTTACCCACCCAGATAATTCCAATTGGAAAACGTCCAAAAGAACATGAAAGCATTATGCTGGAGGAATCATAATGGCATCCACAAAAAGATGGCAAGTCTCATGATGATAATGGCTAAGCCATAAGTCAGCCATCATCATTGCAGTGAATATGTTTGGTCAAGTTAATTAGTTTCCATTCTCTCTAAGAGGCTGAGAGACATTAGTTTAAGTTTTGTTAAATATATTGGTTTAAGACAATGCTTCAGGCTTTCCCTAAATGCTTCACGATCTCTCCAATACTATTTTATTGATTGACCAAAATTCTACTTCTTACTTCTATTGCTACTTGTTGAATCTCTCTCCCAATAAAGAGGCAGGATGATACAACCATATATATTGACTCGCCATTTCGACAGTTCAGCTCAAACGGATTTAATTTCTCATACGATGATCATAATGAAGTCAGAACAGGCTATAAAAAGTTGAATCACACCAGTTTTTCAGGTTTTTTTAGACACATGATTAGTTTTAGCTGAATTTTGCTACTTTGTTTTCACATTAAAATGTAATAAAAAAAGCATGTTTTTTTTCCTTAATTTAGGGTTACTTTTAATTTAGAAATAGGATTTATTACATGGAAATCTAGACTAGTTAATGAATGAAATTTGAACTTCTTAAAACCACTAATTGCTTCTTTCCTTTGATCCAATTTGAATACGCAAATCATGCAGAGTTATGTAGTGATGCTCTACCACCTTTCCTCTCAAATTGCATTCACTGAAGTTTCTTCTTCGAGATTTTTCAAGAACCATCCTTCACCCATAACTTCCACAAATAACCATAATAGACTTAGGAGCAACTTCCATAAGAAAAACACTTCAACTAAATAACCTTCCTATATACCTTGCCTAGTAAATCAAAATATACAACTTATGGAACCTTACCTACTATTGTATATAAAACCTTCATTATCACCAGTTCTCCAGGTACTTGTATTATTCATTCAAAATTCAATTTTTAGCTTGGATTGCTCAAAACTTTTTTTTTTATTCTACCCATTGTTTATTTAAAAATTTAACCACGAGAAGGAGCCGGCTCCTTACAACCATCTTCCTAACAACTTTATTTCTATTTACAAATTTTTGTTATCTCAAAAAGCCTTCCTCAATAAAATAAAGGGGCATTTACATACATAACATTCAGTTCCTATCTATTTATATATCTAACACCTAAAGTTTACTTTTTAAATTTTATACCACCCAAATCTTTCATATCATATCAAAAATTCCTCTATTTTAACTTTTTAAAAAATGAAATACACCTTTTCATGAAAAGATGGGATATCATGCATATAAAAATTGAAGTGTAGGTGTTAGATATGTAAGTAAATAGGAATTAATAAGTGGAATATATGTTAATATTCCTAAAATAAATAAAATCAAGACTGCAAGTACTATTTAAGAAGAATTTAAAAATAAAATAGAAAAAATCCATGATTCAAGAGATGAGATCCTTGAAAAAAAACCAAACTAAGGAGATGATAGAATAAAAAACAAAACATAATAATAAGTTGAAAAAAATAGGTATACACTGCCGAACATAATGCAAATTGGATACTCAAAAGGAATACAACTAGACTCATTACAAAATGATATGCCTAGACCTATGAAATTAATTATTAAAAAAATTTTGCACTAGTCACAAAGCTAAATACAAATCAGATATTTTCCATGACAACTGCCATTGCCGATCTCAAGCCCGGAAGTGAAAGGTGGAGGGTTATGTTAGGTAGTCGGTAAGCAACGTAAAATTTGTCAAAATAAAATCATGGCATGAATCATTTTGAACATTGTGTAAGTGTTAGGCGTCTCATGGAAGCGATGCATTGTATGGCCTGAATACAGTGAATAGTGTGCAAGGGCCACTACACCGGCGTCGGGGTGTAATGTCAAATTAGGATAGAATCTTAGAACAGTGTGCTGGTAAAGAAGTTAGTTCATGAAACTAATATTAGGATAGAATCTTGGAATATACTCTCAGTGGTAAATTAATAGAATTAGTTGATATTATGATGCATAGAAAGATTAATATCTTATGTATTCAAGAAATTAAATGGGTTGGAGAAAATGCTAAGGAGATTGATAACTTAAGTTTTAGGAGATTGATAGTCAAGGAAATTGATAAATTATGTTGTAAATTTTGGCATTCTGGGAAAATTCACACTAGAAATGGTGTAGGTGTAATTATAGATAAAAGTTTAAAAGATAATGTTGTAAAAATTAATAGAGTTAGAGATAGAATTATAGCCCTTAAGATTATTATTGATACTATTGATTAAGATTATTATTGATACTAAGATTTTTAATATTATAAGTGTCTATGTTCCACAAGAAGGTTCAGTTAAAGGGTCTAAAGATAAATTTTGGAATGACTTAGAAAATTTAATACAAATGATACTTCTTGAAGGAGATTTAAATGGACATGTCGGTAGAGTGGTAGAAGATTTCAGAAATATTCATGATGGCTACGGTCTTGGATTTACTAATGAAAAAAGTAGAGCTATTTTAGATTTTGCTTACACGTGTGATTTTGTTATTACTAACACTTTATTCAAAAAAAGAGATGAGCAGTTTATTACTTATAAGAATGGATCTAATAAAACACAAATTGATTATTTTCTTATGAGAAGAAGAGATCGCCATAATTGCAAAGAATGTAAGGTCATTCCAAGTGAGCATTTAAGTACCCAGCATCGATTATTAATTCTAGATTTTAAAATGAAAAGATGTAAAATAAAGAATACTAGGACTTGTCATCGTAGAATTACATGGAGAAACCTAAAAGACACAAATAAAATTATTTTTATGAGTAAAATTCAAGATTTCAAAATTTGGGATATTCATTAAGAAGCGAATGCTAAGTGGGATAAAGTAACAAACACTATTAAACAAGTAGTAAAAGATGTACTTAGAGAATCAAAAGAAAAATTCTATATAAATAAAAATAGTTAGTGGTAGAATAATAATGTGCAAGAAAAGATAAAATATAAGAAGATATGTTATAAAAATTGGTTTAAATGTAAAAGCTTAAAGAACTGAAAAAAAATATTAAACGGCCTGCAGAGAGTCTAAAAGAACAATCTATGAATCTAAAAATTATGTTTTTAGTGATCTTTATAGCAGATTAGATACTAAGGAGGGTGAAAAATATATGTATGAACTAGCCAAACATAAAGAAAAGAAAAGTAAAGATTTAGCTCAAGAAAAGAGTATTAAAGATGAAAATCAAAAAGTGTTTCTCTTAGAAAAAGAAATTCAACAAAGGTGGATGAGCTATTTTGATAAACTTTTTAATGAAGCTTCTGAAAATAAGATCGACCTTAGTGATCTTAATATCATTAATAATAATAAATCATTTTATTTTTATCGTCGGATTAATAAAAAAGAAGTTTATGAGACTTTAAAGAAAATTAAGGGAGAAAAGTCTGTAGGACGTGATGATATCCCAATTGGAGTGTGGAAATTTTTAGGAGATTTGTGAGTTTCTTGGCATGCTAAATTCTTTAATATTGTTTTAAAAACTAAAAAGATGTCTGCGGAGTGGGGAAGAGTATTTTGGTCCCCACTTTTAAGATTAAAGGAGATGCACAAGAGTGTACAAATTATACAGGAATTAAGTTGATGTGTCATACTTTAAAATTATGGAAGAGGGTAATTAAACATAAGTTAAGACGTATTACAAAAATTTCTCATAATCAATTTAGATTTATGACGGGCAGGTCTACTATGGAAGTTATAAATTTATTGAGAGATTTGATGGAGAAGTTCAAAAATATAAAAGAGGATTTACATTTGATTTTTATTGATTCAGAAAAATCTTACAATAAGATTCCAAGAGAAATCCTTTGTACAGTTCTTGAGAAGAAAGGTGTAGATATGACTTATATTCGAGTCATTAAAGATATGTAGAGTCATTAAAGATATGTAAAAGATATGTATACTAGAGTCGTTACTTGTGTTCAAACTGAAGGAGGATTAAGCAATTATTTTCCTAGTTTTGATGGATTACATCAAGGATTGGTGTTAAGCCCATATCTTTTTACTTTAATTATGGATAGTCTTACTAGACATTTATAGGAGGATGTAGCTTGGTGTATGTTTTTTGCTAATGATATTTTTTGCTAATGATATCCTTCTCTAATGATATCCTTCTCGTGGATAAAACAAGAGAAAAAGCCTACGAAAAACTTGAATTAAGGACGTCTACATGGAGTCTAAAGGCCTTTATTTGAGTAGAACTAAAACTGAATACATGAAATGTAATTTTAGTAGTAGTAGCTCTAATGACAGAAGTGTAGCTTTGAGTAATCAAATTATCAATAGATGTGAACGATTAAGATATCTTGGGTCTATTGTTCAAAGCGATGGTGATATAGATGG